ATACGCGGTTGGTTTAAATGTTCCTCCTATCCAGCATACGTTATGCATGGCGTTTTTTTTTGTGGTTTGGCCAATTGTGACCGAGATGATTGGCTTCGATATACAATACGTATTGATATTTATGCCCATGTCAAGGAGCCGTCGAGTATGCAATCCGTGGTGTTTTGGACGTGAGATTGGTATCGCGGCGTAGTACGTATCAGCTGCGTAACTACTCCCGACTCCCTCGGAGACTGAGGCAGCGGTTGCTCCAACGGCTGGCAGCACAAGGAGGGGAAGCGTGCGGGGCAGCGTTGTGCTTGCCGCCGTTTACCTACGGTGACCTCCAACCGGCCAGGTCTCTATTACATCACTCAACGTCAGCTCATCATCACATAATACGTTGTGGCTGCTTTGTTTGCCCCAGCAGCGGGAAAGAAGGGCAATCCCTTCACATGTGGCACAACTCGCAAGCGCCATTTTCTAATCAGTTAACCTGATCTCCTTGACGCATCCGGATACGACACCGTTGCACTTCTAAGGCTTCATTCAACCGATTTCCCTCAGCATTCTGTCTTGACTTGGAGATTGTTCAACTCTGGCGGCCCAAAAGCGAAAGTTTTCGCCCCTACTCGCTTCACAACTTTCGGCACAGCTCGGCAGCCGCTTCATCCCCCGCGCTAGTCTCAGCAGTCGCTCCCCCCAGCCATCACAGACGCCTCACCCACGACACAAGAGTAACTTTGCCGAGATGGCCTGGCGCAGCTCCGGTGCGACCAACCGCGATCTCATCGAAAACCTGTGGCGCAACAAACTCATCACCGAACCCCAAGTCAAAGAAGCCTTCCTCAAGGTCTGCCCCTTCTCAACCCCACCCCCCAAAACAGCCAGAGACTAAACAGCAAAAAAAAAAAAAAAAAAGGTTGACCGCGCCCACTACGCCCCCTCGTCCCCGTACAAGGACAACCCCCAACCCATCGGCCACGCCGCCACCATCTCGGCCCCGCACATGCACGCCACCGCCGTCGAGAACCTGCTGCCCTTCCTCGCGCCCACGCCGTCCCGCCCCGCCCCGCGCGTCCTCGACATCGGCTCCGGCTCGGGCTACCTCACGCACGTCATGGCCGAGCTGGTTGGGCCCGAGACGGACGGCGCCGTGGTCGTCGGGCTGGAGCACATTGCGCCGCTGCGGGACCTGGGCGAGGCCAACATGCGCAAGTCGGCCGAGGGCAGGGGCCTGCTGGCGAGCGGCCGGGTCCGGTTCCGGGTCGGGGACGGGCGCAAGGGCTGGACGGAACCCGGGCAGCAGGAGGGCGAGGGGTGGGATGTCATCCACGTCGGCGCGAGTGCCAAGGAGATGCACCCCGAGCTGCTGGCGCAGCTGAGGGCGCCGGGCAGGATGTTTATCCCTGTGGATGATGATGGGAAGGGGTGGAGTCAGCATGTTTGGTGTGTGGATAAGGATGATAAGGGGGTGGTGAGCAAGAGGAAGTTGTTTGGCGTGCGCTACGTCCCCCTGACGGATGCGCCTGAGTGAGGTGGGAAGGGTGTTGGTGGGGAGGTGATGGTGATAGGGGGGATGGTGGTGTTGTTTCAACAGCGAGGAGTGGTACTCCCGATGATGAGATTGAAGCTGGAGGTGGATTCTGATGTGTTGGATCACGGTTTCTCACAGCGCAATTCTGGCTTCCTGATCAACAGGTTGGAGGCCCGAAAGTCCGATATTCAATCTGACAAGGATACGGTTATTACCTCTTGAATACCCGTTAAACCACTACATTTCTCTGCTAAATAATGATCTAGTGCTCAGTAGACTGAAGGAATAGTTGGCGAATTTTAATATTCCTTGAACCTGGGACTTACCTCTGTGCCCGCAGTCGGACTCATCTAGCTCAAGACGGATCTCGCATGTCATCAACTGCCAACCCCCTTAGAAATCGGGACTGGCATTTTCCCGGTTTTTTTACAAGTATAAATTCGAAAGCCATCGGAACCTGGGATTTTCTCTCAAGGTCTCCTATCGACGACTAGAAGAACCCTTCAATCCGGCATTTCGATTGGCTTACTAGTCACAGCAGGTCACCCACACGAAACATGCTCAGCCATCGCGACAGGGGGCTCAGCCCTTCCCCTCAGGTTATTCTAGCACTGCCTTGAGCTATTACCTACATAGGTTGGCAACAGCCCTCCTACCTCCTCGTGAGTCGCACCTCTCATCTCTCAAATGTGTAAAATCTTTAGGTATCATTTACCTTGTCTTGGAGACTCGCCGCGCATCTCCGAGACATTCCCAGTCGCCTCTACCGGCCCGCAGTTTGTTGATCATTGAAGACGGAGTCCGTCACAGACGTCTCGTCTGAAGAGGCCGAGCCTGGCGCCCTAACCCTTCCTTATATTTGCCTTTAGTGTCCGAAGGATTCCGTCACTTCAACTACGACATGACCGATCGCGAACAGGGGCGTAAATTCAAACGTTTGTACTCAAGCGGCGGAATCTGCGAATATGGCTGGACCACACAGGACGAGCTAAGGCATCGTATCAGCGACAAGGTCCCTCAGCATGTTTGTCGTCACTGCCCGAAATCATTCCATCGCCTCTGCGACTTGAACAAACACGAAAAGCCCCGTAATAACCCCCCCTGGAAATGCCCATACCGGAGCTACAGACACACTCGAGAGCGTCAAGAACTTTCTGGTCGCCTCAGATGCCTTCTCGGACCTGTGCAACTCGTTGAGGAGACTCTTGAACCTGGATGGCAGTCGGAGGGCATCTCCTTCCCATGAGGAGGACACCGACTCGGGGCACCGGCCATAGGAAGCTGAAGATTCAGATGACATCGGAGCCGAGCCCCTGGTCGCTGCCAAAACTGTGGATGCACCGCCGGTTGATCCTCAGGGAACCCCAAGTCAGAGATGAGATACGCGCTGGGAGAGGATGCGTCGTTAGAACACAAAAAGCTCGATACACCTCACGTTCATCCCACAGTGTCGTGGTGTGCTGGCACTGCGTTGCTTGCTGTGACGGTTTTGACGGTTTGTTGGTGTGTGCTGGCCGAGGACTTGCAGGGCGGGACGGGTTTGGGGCAGTACTGTCTCGGTTTATCTCTTGAAGCGTAGTGTGCACGAGAGGCCGTAGCCGAGGCCAACAGAGAGTCGCGGAGACCGCAATGATTATGCGGTGACTACGACAACGCTGTGTATTTCGAAGGCAGGGTAAATAGGGAAATTGGTTACCCGGATGCTTGTTCGAGGGTGCAGGTGGAATATGTTGAGGCACTAGAGTGACACTAGATGCCATAGTTGTCCTCCGGACGTAATAGGCAGGAGGACTGGGCTGTTCATGCTTTGAAGTCCGTCGGTAATTGACGTCCCATTGTGAGGACATCGCCAGTGGTAAGCGAGCCAATCACACAGCCCCAGGGATGGCCATACTCTGATGGTCTAAAGCTAGCAGTTGTTGTAAGTCGATACTGACAGCGGGAGAGTATAGGGATCGACGTCTGGGAGACGCTACCCGATGCAAGCTGCCTTAATTACAAAAGCTGATTCAGGAACACCAATGCCAGTGGAGATGGCGGCAGGGAGGCTGGAGCGCGGTTGGAGCGTGGTGCTGGCAGCCAAGTTCTGGGTTCCATTCTGTCCCGTCCCGAGCCGCACACTCCAATCATCGAGTTGAATACAGCCACAGCTAGCGCAAAAAGAGTGCACGGGGTATCAAGGTTCCGTGGTTGCCGGTTCGGTAGCGCTCCGCTAGCGACGAAATAACCGGCAGATTTACCACTGCCAACTGAAGGCCGCGTCAACCTCCGGGGGGGGGGCGCAAGTGACGTTGAGGGCTGATCGAAAGCTGGTTATCACTTGGTTAATATAGCGTACCAGATACCGGGGTTGCTTTGATGCCCCTCCTTCACCAAGTCCTTCTGCTTACGCGAAGGGCCCAGAGCATGAGAGAGCAAAGCAGCTCGGGCAATTGTGAGTAAAAAGGCTCGGCATCATATATTGCCTGCCCTGTTCCCCGGATTTTCCTGTCCGCCCACATCGACCCGTTCCCGCACATTGATCAAGACCACCAAGCCACGATCCACCACCCACACACTGCACACACAACAACTATTCTGCTGCTCTTTTAGGACTTAAGATGCCGGCCTTCACACACATCCTCAAACTATCGGCGCTTTGGCTCATCGCCACAGCCACGCCCATCGCAGCAGCTTTCAACGGAACCGGCGAGCTGCACACGCTCTGGAGCGCGGGCGACCACGCCGACCTCGGCTGCATCACCGACGAGGGGCTGTGGACCGCGCGGGAGACGGCATGCGGCGCGTTCGAGGCCGTGCCGGTCCCCGACACCTCCATGTACACGCTGACGACGGCCGCGGGCGCGTGCTGGGTGCGCGGGGCGAGGTTCACCTGCGGCGAGGGCAACGAGGCGTTCAATTTTGGGGTAATTATCTTGTTCTTTTCTGTCTCTCTCGCATTGGAGCAGTGATGCTGACCGAGGACTGGAACGGTCGTAGACGTGGCCCGAGAACTGGCCGAATGGCATCCCGGGCGTCAAGGTCCTTCGCTACGGGCAGTACGGGCTGATGGCGAGCAGGAGCAACGGCCCGCCCGGGCTGACAGATAGCCCCAAGCCGATTCACCTGGTTAGCTACAGTGAGACTGGCAAGTACGTCTGGTTGACGTGGAAGGACTTGTGAGGGGTGGGCCGTACTACCCCGGGGAGAGCATGTTGCTCTTTGATGTTGGCGGTTTCTGCTTCTTCTTTGGCAACCGGCTGTCCGTCAGTCGGTTTGCATTACTTTGACGGTGTTTGGGGGGGGGTACAGAGTCTCAAACTAGTACAGTTCATTGAGTGAGCGGCAAACGCCACTTCCTGTACATGGCAGGTTCGCTACCACAAGTTGGCTCCATCCTATTGCATCTATTTGCCCAGTCTCCTAGACTGACTCTATCACCGCATTGTACGCCCGGTGGGCAAAAATGCCAAAAAGAAGCCAGATCACTCTGGATACAATTGTATGGACGAGTTGGGAATTGAACCCAAGACCTTTCACAGCGAATTTGGTAGAAAATGCGAAGCGAACGTTATACCCCTAAAACACACGCCCTTGTGCTGTTGGATGCAGGTGGATGATGCAATTCCCTGGGCTCAAACCTCGCACGGGCTGAGTGGAGATTCTCTACCGGATGGGCGCATAAAATCCAAACCGATTGTTGGGATCGTACATCTTCTTCAGCCGCTTCAGCTTTGCGAGTCTCGCGACATCCCGCCCGTACACCTCGGGCAGCTCCTCGTGGCCGACGGCATAGTTGAGGTACGTATGGGGAAGCGCCGGGTTGCCGCGCCTCACAGCTTCTTGCATCCGCTTGCCATACAACTCGGCTCTCTCCCGGTCCTGCTCGTCGTCTCCAGCCCACCACAATATGGGGGACGAAAGGAGATGCAGGGAGCGCTCCTCAGGGGCCACGGCGTTCTCGGCAGCCGGGACTGCCGCCACGGCTTTCCGGCCATACGACTCGAGCAGCCAGGCGGAGGTGGCAAACTTCTCAGGGGCGGTAAGGTCGGAAAAAACATCGAAGCCAGCGCGCATCGCGTCGGGATCCCATCGATCGAGTGAGTTGGGGTATCCAAGGATATTCTCGTTCTTCCGGCACACAGGGCTCGTCAGGCCAAACCCGCCGACGTCATAGAGATCTCCGTATTTGATATCTTTGACCGTCGTGTTCAATACCGGGCCAAGGGCAAAGAAGGCCGACGTGTACTTATCAGCGACGTCGTTTTCTCCCTCGTAAAAGATTTGAAGGTTGACAAGAGGCTATCGAACTCGGTCAGTTTCTTGGCGGGTCTCTTGCTGACAGAAAATTGACGCCGTGACTCACATGATCAGAGTCAAGGACGGGGTTTCGAGCAAAAATTCCGTTCAAAACAAGCAGACCAACATCAGTGTGCTCGGCCTCGAGCCGGTTCCAGGTGCTGAAATAGATCTCCAGCTTGTCCTGTGTAAACGTAAGGACGATCATGGTCCACGTCTTCTCGACGTCGTAAACATCTACTTCCAGACTGGTGACGATGCCAAAGTTGTGTCCGGCACCGCGGATGGCCCAAAAGAGGTCCGGGCTGCTCTCTGCTGACACGGTGACGGCACTCCCATTGGCGAGGACGAGGCGAGCGGAGGCTAGGTTGTCGGCGGCGAAGCCGCGGCGCCCTTGCAGCATGCTATGCCCACCGCCGAGGAGGGGTCCGGCAACCGATACGCACTCGCATAGCCCAGTGACTGGTTTCTGTTATCAGTGATCATCCCTCGTACTAATAAAATGGGTAGAATGGACGGACCAGCCATCTTGCCCTGCTCAGACAGAGAGCGTACAATCTCGTGCTGCATTACGCCTCCGCCTACGGTTGCCGTCTTGCCGTCTCGGTTCAGCTCTATGTGGTTCATCCGGCGCATATTGATCTGGATGCCACCCTGAACGTCATTCAAGGTTGTCGGCCAACCGTGAGTGCCGGTCACGGCGAGAAATGGGACACCGATATGATTCGAATATTTGATCTGCCCCGGCCCTTAGCCACGAATTAGGACGGACTGCGGAGGCGGTCTTACTGTCTCTTGGACATCCTGCTCGGTTGCGGGCTCGACAGATGTGACAAATGCTGGGTTTATCCGTGGGGAGGTCGCCCGCACCAGCGCTTGATGCCACCCAGGCGATGAAGGAGCCAATATAGAAGCCGCCCCTGACAACCGGGGGCCCAGCTCCCTCTGGATCCGGCTGCCAGAGGGGCAGTCGATATGGTCTTGGGAATGCCGAAGAAGATGGGCATCCGTGCCTAGAACTTGACCGCTCCCAATTTGCAAGAGAAGGCCGGCTCGTAGTAGGAAAGTGGGGAGCCTCATCATCGATGGGCAACTATACGTTGTATCAAACGGTGATGCGCAATGCAGAGTCCGGCCTCAGCTGATGCGGCTGCGGGGTTGCGTCGCTTATTTACCTTGGATGCATTGCTGTCGCGATAAAAAGAAAGTCGATGTCGTCCCTACCTGACTTGATAGGCTGCAGCGGAAGATTGATGGGCCGTGTTAACGTGCCAAGGTAGGATCACTGGGACAATCCGACTGGCTGTCCACTGCGTCCTGTCAGTAAATGTTTTTTTTTTTGGTTTTTTTTTACCTGCTACTAGTCCGGGGGCGGAGCATGCCTGAGCTGTTGTGAAGTGCAGGGCCGTAATGAGGTCGCCAATTATAAAATACTTTTTCCCGTCGCTTCCCGTCGGCTGGGATCCCCATTGTTGTCCAAAGTGCCGCAATCCGCACTTTTCAAAGCCGGCGCCAAAGGCTATTGCTACCAACAGCGGAAGCGCTGTGGCTAGCGAGTCATCCGTGAGTGCGGTTCAGCGTCAGTGTTGAACACGGGCACCTCCCTCCCCGCAAGTAAAATCGCTGGCCCAAAATTTGCTAGGCATCGTTTGATGTTTGATGTTATGGAGATAGGCATGGCTGTGACTGAAACTCTACCTGCAGAGGCAGCTGTGGTGCGGGTATCCCTTAGTGACGCTCAACTCCTCTGCCCAGGGGTTCGCTGACGTTGGCGCACGTATCATACGGGGCGGGACTTCAGTTTGTCTCTAATGAGGGTTTTATAAAAGTTCCACGCTGACAAACAAACCAGGGCTGGAGTGTATGTGGCAATCCTGATATTATTAGTCCAAGTGCCTGGCATTAGCTCATTGGCGCGTACATACCTTAAAACAAGCAGTTATTGATAGAACAGGTGGTTGAAATGAGGTTGACTCAGTGGGTTCTTGCAATGTAGCAATCCATTGTGCTTACCTAGTTTTACTGTTGTGGTTGCCACAATCACGCCTTACTTACCTGGGCTCTTTACAAGCCTCGGCGCTGAGCGAGCGTCATGAGAAGTCCGAGGGCATTCACACTCCCGACCCCTCTTTCGCAAATGAAAGAGGATGCAAGGGGCTACCGCAACAGGCACATCCTATTCCGAAATACAAAAGCATTGTCTCGTCGAGTTGTGCTACGCCCGCGGTCCCGATCTTGCGCCGTTGTAAAATCCAGTCAAGGCCGCTCTGTACTTGTCGCTTCCCAAGTATCGCGAATACCTATGATCATAGCCGCCGTGCCATCCCGTATAAGAAGGTCCACAACACGCAGAAGATAACACCGGCTAGTCGCGGCGCAGCCAACTTGGCAACGCCAAGACAGCTGTTGGGATACCCAAGAGCTACCAACAAAGCCATGCATTGATGTGTTATGAAGATTGGAACCTCTGTTGCAACCCGTGCGCCCATTAGCGTGACCGGGAAGGGGACAGACACCAATGCCACGGTTGCTCCCGGTCTGGGTCAGAGTGTTACATCAATCTCTCGATGCCTGGGGGTCTTCACGACTGTCGTAAGCGGTGCTTACGATCTGGCTGTGAGGAACTCAAGTTGCTTGAAAGGAGGATTGCTTGTTAGTAGACCTAACAGGCTGGGTGAGATGCTCTCCTGATAACCACATAAGTAGGGGATGGTGTGCTCGACAGCGTGGCGAACCAGGCCCCCGGAGTACCAACCTGGCTTGCTCTTCGTCGGGATGCTGGAATACCTTGCTGAGCTATTCTTACCTTGGTGGTAGTACGATATGGGATTATTTAGAGAAGCCAAGAAGGAAAAGAGGCCGTCGGCGGATGGGCCAGGCCAAGGCGGAGATTAGGCAGGTCTGAGCTGGTCAACCTCGAGGGTCGAGCAGGTCGTTGTATCAGGGTCTGGGCGCCAAGGCTGAAATAACCTCCTTCCTGATCCTTCCCGGGCGGATAGCTGCTTTTGGAGCCATGTCTTGGCGGGGCCATGGATTTTCAACCGTTGGGGCGGGTTCGGGCTCTGGGCCATGATAGGCGATAGGGCGACTGCTTGAGCCTTGAGTGGAGACAGGCGAAAGGGCCAGACAGACGTCTCGATGTATCTCGTTCACCAAAATCCAAAATCAGTCCGAGTTGGATTTTGGAGACGGTGTGGAATGTGGCTGCTTGGCAGTGGGGGGATTCAGCGAAGCTTGTTACCGCCACAGAGAACTTGGCAGACGCCTTTGGTTAGGAAAACAGCGAGATGGACGCCAGAAGTGAGATCTGAAAACGCCTTGAATCGACATCCCAGCTTCCAGGATAGGCCCGCCAATGCATTCGCCTCCAACAACAGCTGCCATCAAGCTGCACATCATCTCGAGACTACTGGTATGTATGCCTGGCGGGGAAGGTCATGTCGCGAAATAAAGATGCCATAAAGAGATCAGGCTAAAAATGGCGGTTGGACTGGCACGCAGCAACTCCTTCCCTCGCACACTCATTCCCGACAGCGAGACGTGCGTGAGACATTGAGCGCAATGCGTGCAATGCGCGGGGGGCGATTGTGCGATTGCGCAATTGTGCGACCGAGGTCGATCCGGCTGGCATGCCATCATGGACTTGAGGCCCATGGGCTGCCACGGCTACTTTTGAGTTTGTTTTGCTGTCCAGGGCCCTCTTGCATAACGGGGGCGTGATTGATGGACATGGCTTGGCTGTCTCTTGGCTGGATGGCTGAATGGCAGACCTGCCCAAGGTTCCTTCCTTATCTCAGGGCAACCTCGCGCAACTGCGGTGCAGCTGGTAGATAGAACTGGTAGCTACCTCCCTAAAACAGTAACACGCCCATGGCGGCGTGCAGTGCCATGTTCCCTCGCCAAACGCCCCAACCAGTCGTTATCTCGAGACAGGAACGCATATTGCGTCGCCGTGCCGCTGCAAATGCGCCGCCGCTCATTGGGCAATTTCCAGTGCCGGCCACCACATATCCTCCCCATCCAAATACCCGGGGCAGAGTCTGGTCAACAGGGTCGGCGAGGTCAACATGCAACATGGCCTCCCGGACGGGCAGCTCCCACTCTGATCCCACCGCGATCCCGCCGCGCACCTGCCCAACACAGACACACGTTCGTGCGCGGGCATGTTGCAGGGTGTGCAAGTGGAGAAGTAGCACCACTGGGGACCGGATGCAGCTACCCAAAGTTTACAGACCGTGCATGCGAGTATGGATCCGTGGATATCAAAGACCCGGGGAAGCCTGAAGACGGCCGAT